AGGATGTCGTTCATTTTGTCGATGTATTCTGAGTTGTTCATGATTACACTGGTGTTGCCTTTATCAGATATTAGAATTTTAATGTTAGTGCCTTTTTTCAGATTATAAATGGATTTGATCTCATTACTTGTGAGCTAGGGTTAGGTACATAAGAATTAGATTATCAAACTAGTCTAATTTCAATTAATAATATTACAGTCAACAACTTTTCACATGGAAAGGGTATGTTTTAGTGCTTATGTGCATAAAATTAACAACAATAATTTTTATACTTCTATAGATATTTATTACATGTTAAATTAAAAAGTAAATTAGTATGAAAATATTCAAAACCAGAAAGCCTCACCTGGCCAACAAAGTCAGTATAGAACATATCGTGACACATGATCCCCATCCAGCCAATCAAACTGACAAGGAAAAGGTGAAATAGTGAACTTGGCATCTGAAGATATCCCTTCAGTTGGAAAAAGGGTGACAGAAGCAGCTGCAGTGGAAGGCCTATCAACCGGCCAATATGATAAAACACTACTAAACACAAGGATAAAGCTTGAGTTAATTTTATACAACAGAGAAGTATGACTCGACTTATTCTGTACAATGAAATCTTACAGAAGAATGTGACTTTTTCTAAACATGCTGGCCTAGATTGATGAACTTTACCATTTGTCATGCAATTGTGATGTGGAGAATTCAAATCCTGATCACATTGGTGGAGTTTAGCAGTCTTTTCCATGATTTGTATAGCAGCATTTTTTTTTATCGTTTCAGTTTCAATAATTACAGGGTAAGATTTATATTTTTCAGAAACATCTAGATCCCTGTTGATTGGACAATATGGTACCTCCTTTGCTAAAGTTAAATTTATAATTAGAAACACAAAAAACAAGACCGTCATTAAACTGAAAACAGCTTTTTCTTGGCTTCCCATCACTAGTCCCAGTTGTGTTGACCCCCAGTTCAGAGTAGTGATAAAATATCCTATGCAACCCCCAATATTTAGCATACAAGAATAAACAGTACAGCCAAGATTCTGGTCTCCAGATAAAGATAAAATATCTAATACTAACACTCTACATGGATTCATGAGGGCTTGGCTGGTGAAGTCCAAGAGAACCACTCCAACAGCAAGGAAGGCTGCAGCTGCCCAACTAACTCCAGGAAAGGTGTACATACTCAGTTCGTGACAGAAAGGAATAAATATTAAAGAAAGAAGCATCATCACACTAAGTGCAAGAATAAAGGGCCGTCGACGGCCCCATCTACTCTGACAATGGTCACTCTGTTTTCCTATGAATGGTACTAAAGACAATGATATAAATGGACCAACACCTAATGTAAATGTCATCCATCTCTCAGAGAATCCATTCTTCAGCATAAGAGGTGGGATGTAGGTGAACCCTCCACTAGCACATAAGTCAAGCCCTAGGCTTAGCAGGTTAATTCCAATAAGATGCAGCCAATTATAAAGAGGAGTCTTCAAGGATTCCAATTTCCCACAGCCTTCTTGATAGGAGTCTTGATTGACATAAGAGAATTTCTCTTCATCATGAAGAGGAAGCCCTTGAGCCATTTCTAATGATGTTCAAGTGAAATTATTAGGCTTAAATAGCTGCATATAAATGTCAAGCTGCATTTATCACAATTAAATTGTATTTCTTTCTTCATCTTGAGCATCAAATTTCCAGCCTGAAAGAAAAAAAAGGTTATTCAATAACAATTAGAAGGTATTTAACCCCAGGATTTAAAGAGCCACAAAAACTATACCCATTATATTTTTACTAACTTAAGTTTGTCATAAAATAAGGAAAAGTTATTACTATGTTATTCTCCTTACCTATCAAAATTATAGTTTACATAAATCTTTTAAAGGATGAATGCAATTAATAATTTTCATTATAATTCTGCAACTAAAAGTTAACATTTTTCTTACCTGAACATGTATTTCAGATAGATACTTACCTCTCTGCATCAATAACATTTATTACATGCCACAACCCTTGTACAAACTCCCATCTCAACACATCTATGTGTGTTGCACCAGCCTGTGATATAAAAATTATAATGCTGTGGCCCTCCACCTATAGGAGGGCAACATAACCTCCATGCAGAGTAATCAACATAAGTATTACCACATAATCATAGACTCTTCTTAAAGAGGCAAACGAAAGGCACCAAAAGTGAGGAGGAAGGGTAGGACATGATGCAAAGAGGTAAGCATAACTGAAATGCATCTCCAGGTGAAGAAAACAATAAATTCAGAAATGCTACTTACCTCTCTGCACCACTAAGAGCTAAAATCCCACATTGAAGATGATAAATGGGCCAGTGCAAACCAATTACAAAGACAATCTCCTTTCTGAAATAGCAACAGAAAGAGAAAGCCCATGAGGTGCGCACTTTCACCCAGAAGGTGACCCCATCCTTCTCAAACACAAAATTCTTATCACACACCTGGTTGTTCTTGATCAATGTATTCATGATTTCCAATACAGAGAGAGTAGAGCAAAGGATGTTGGGAAGAATTCAGTACTGGTGGTAATGTTGAAAACTTATCATGGCTTGGGCTTTAGGCTGCCCATCTTGGGAAATAAATGGGTTAAATATTATAAAAACAGGTGAATGGATGACATGTCCTCAGGTAAATTCAAGTAATGGGGTGTGTCCTGTACTACACTTTCAAAGAACATCCAAGCCCTATTTCTCAAAGAATATATGGACCCAACCAGCCTCTTATCCGTAAGAAAGGTACCACTTGCAGAGGACACTCTCCATATGGACATACCCAGCAGTTTGGGACAGGGAAAGCAAGGGTTTTCCCGTGCTTCACAAAAAGAACAAGAGGGGAAAGAAATATGTATTGGGAGAATACTGAAGAATGTGCACGAACCACTGTTGTCAGGAAAAATAATCTGGAATTGGGTCCTCACAAAGAAACAGTGCAATGGATTATTACAACTTAAGACAGCAAGAATGAACTAGATGTATTGGTACTGTCTGGCTTTCTTTTTTTTTTGTAAAAGCATGGAAATGCTATGTCAATTGTATATGTGTGCTGCCAAGGCAATCTTGCAGAAAACCCATCTCAACAGTGGGCATTGAGTTGTGGCAGATGGGTTTAATGCTTTCTGTTTTCCCCTACTTGATGTAGATTTTGGGTAAGTTTTGTTTGTGAGGCAACACTGGCCACTCTGCAGGATCAAATGGCGCCAAATGTAAAGAACGTATGGTTGGTTCCTCATGTTGGCCACACTTTATTATTGCAGTCCACCTTTACACGGTACACTGTAAAGGTACTTTATTACTGCAGTCCACCTTTACACGGTACACTGTAAAGGTACTTTATTACAGCAGTCCACCTTTACACGGTACACTGTAAAGGTACTTTTATTACAGCAGTCCAGCTTTGCATGTTATACAACTTGTGCTACACGTAGCACAGTAGTCTTTAAAACAATTAGTGTTTTACTAATCATACATATTAATTTTTTGTGTTTGTATTACAGTGTAACATGCATTTTTCACTCAGATGCAAGAATCAGTTTGTAAGAGTCAACTTTTCTTAAACTTTTAGATTAAAAACATAGCAAATAGTAAAAGACAACATAGGGATACCTCCTCATCTCTGTCTGTTCCAATAAATCAATCATGTTCCATCATTATTAAGCATGGTCCAAATTTCACTACTTCAGAAGTTCACATTTGTTGGTTAAGTTAACACCAGAAAACAAAAACTACAAATAACAAACAAATTTGCTAATTTTGATTCTGTCACTCAGAATGAAAATGATAAAATAGTTCAGCTAAATGTAAAACTAAAAGTACGTTCTGTAACATGTTATCCTGCTACAGTTTAGCAAGTACACTCACTTTAGTTGTCAATTCCTTACATATAACTGTATTTATGTTTCTATAATATAAATTGCATAATGATTTTGTCCGAAACAAAAGCTTACAACAGCACAAATATATTCAAATGAAAAGGTCAGTAATTATTGGATGTACATTCAAACCCACTTAATTTGTTTTTTCTAACCTGTTTTAGTGTGTGGTGTTAAACTATTAAGCATGATTAAGAAAATAACCAGCCAAGTATCAATTCAATATGCAGTTTCAGGGAAGATTAAAAAAAAAGATTCCTTTCAGAATTTTATATTTAGATCTTCAAATTAATTATAATAACTTTATAAATGTTGTAAAGAGTAAGTAAATAAATAGCAGAGACTATCGAAGCTCTAAGCTACATATATGTATTATAGAATGAACATTTATCTTCTTAGAAACAATGAAATGTTTATGAAGAAACTACATAAGGAAATAATATAACATTCAGTGAACCAAGATCTTGATACTTTAAACAATAACCTTTGAATGATTTCAAGTGAAATCAAAACAGTGTAAGAAATTCATGCAGATATGAAGCTTATAGATAGAATTGCATTTCTGGTGTAACCTTAATTTAAATTTTTTAATTCTTACCCCACAGTAAACTCTCAGTCTGCCTCCAAGATTACTGTTCCCATGTTATGTATGGTATATTTCACTTCTTATTACAGTATGTGACTTGCTCCTGTTGATTCTGCTATTTATAGGCCCATATTCTGCTTTTATCTATACATAATAAGGCTA